TTCATTGAAAAATACTATACTCAATATATATATATAGTAAAATAAATTATAATTGTTTTTTCAGAATATGCATACGATTTATCCAGGGACTGTGATGTGTACAAAATGGCGGAGGAGGAAGTCGATGAAGATGAGGTCAACAGCTCAGAGAAACACCACATTATTTCCTTGGAGAGATCCGGTCCGAGTCCATCAGGAAGCTTAAGCGATGCTGGAGCTAGTGACATAAGCAGTGACGATACCGTTACCTCCCCCCATTTTGTGTACAGCCCCAATGTTTCGCCGTCACCGCCACCCACACTCACCGTCGGTTACAGCTACGAAACTTTCTTCATAACAGACGGCAGATCCAGAAGAAGAAAGACTAACCATCTCAACAAGAACCTTTCATCGTCTGAAACAGACAGGCCGTCGCGTTACACCTGCGGGGAATGTGGTAAACACTACGCCACCTCTTCCAACCTATCCAGACACAAACAAACTCACAGAAGCCCGGATTCGCAACAAGCCAAGAAATGTGAAACGTGCGGGAAAGTGTACGTCAGCATGCCCGCGCTGGCCATGCACCTCCTCACACACAACCTGAGTCACAAGTGTGCGGTGTGTGGCAAGGCTTTCTCGAGGCCTTGGCTGTTACAGGGCCACATGAGGTCACACACGGGCGAGAAGCCCTTTGGTTGCGTCCACTGTGGTAAAGCTTTTGCGGATCGGTCGAATCTGCGGGCGCACATGCAAACCCACTCTGCTTTCAAACACTACTCGTGCGCTCGTTGCAACAAAACGTTCGCTCTGAAGTCTTACCTCAACAAGCATCACGAATCTTCCTGCTTCAAAGAAGGGGAAGAGAGCCCCCTCATGTGTCCCCATGTCTCCGAACAACTGATGGAAATCGGGACTTAGATGCTTCTGTTTTCAAAAGCCCTCTCTCAGAAAAATTGGTTCGAGGTTGGACCATAATACGGGGCAAATTTGCTGCAATAAGTGGAGAAATCGAACCGCGTCAGTTACGACAACATGATTGAACTTGGTAGATTTTTCAAAAAGTGCAGTAAATTTGATCACCATTATAGTTCAACACACTTCAAAACAGATTCACTAGCAATAATAATAATAATAGATATCAATCATATTTCTAGCAACCATAGATGTTGATAGAACTGTTTATATAGAAATCTATGACACAACGAAGTAACACAGTTATTCCGTCAGGTTTTATTTAGTGAGTCTTATGGAATTCTATTTCATAAAAGCTGTTTTTAATAGATATTTTATCATAGACATAATTTTCTAATGTGATTTTCTAGAAATATCGCATTAACACATTTTACAGCGTGAACACAACAAGTATAGTGTCAAAAATTACGAACTATCCATTTCATTTTGAAAAAACATGAGCTGACTTGTTTACTTTCATCAGCAATGTTTTGTTGTTTTCTTTTGTTTAACGGTATTTTAATTATTTTTTAAATTATGAGTCTCTCAGTTGCTTAATGCGTCGCCAAATCTCTTTGCAAGTTACATAATGTGCATTAGCTTATGCATTTATACCTCCCAAAAGTCATTCATTCCACTGATGCGGCTTTTTTAGAGATGTGCCTTAAAGTTTTTCGTACTTTGCTGCGTTATTTCTTTTCCTTGTAAATAAGTTGCATACAAAGAGAAAAATACATCCAAGCGTTAGGTGATAATTGGTAAAACCGTAAGTTTTTCAAAGTAATATTTTAGAATATAACAACAAGTGTTAAGAAGCTTTGACATAAACATATTTGGTTGAACTAACAGTGTATGCTTCTCCTTATAACAAATGTCTATTCCCTAGTGATAAAATAACATTTCTCTTAAGTTTAGCAAATAACTGCCTAAAAATAGTAAAAACACATTTTTACATTTTAATCTTTTGGGAGTCGGAAGGTATAATTATTTGTAACATAGATAAAATCTTTTCGTAGAAGGATAATGTATACAAAATCCATAAAATTATATTCTTGCACTAACCTTACCCGCTTTCCAATGAAAAAGTATTGAATAAACGCGGAATTAATTTGAAATAATGTGGATTGTAAATAAACTTAATCCAAAAATAACTGAATCGTTAAACTGAAGTTAAATATTTAACAACGAAGTTAACGAATGGAAAATAATCAAAGCTTATATGTACAGTTATTTAAACAAATAAAGTATGGACTGGCATGTTAATTTTTAGTTGAATTCTAAGAATAAAACTATAATGCTACCCTTTTTCCTTCTATTTTAAAAAAAATAATCCGTGATTGAGCAACCATTAATTCACTTATTTATATAAAAGTAAATATATGACGCCAATGATAAAAATATTAACTATCTCGTCCACTAAATGCATATTATGCATATGCGCCACTAATTTTGAAACGCTCTTATTTCCTAAATGTTGATTTATATTTCATTATCTCATCTCCTAAAGGTTAAATTTCTCAAATATCCCGTCTCCTAAAGATTTATTTTCTTCACCATTATCCCGTCTCCTAATGGTTTATTTTCTCAATTATCCCGTCTCCTAAAGGTTTATTTTTTCAATTATCCCGTCTCCTAAATTATCTGCACCTGTAATTCTGTATGCAATGCAAAACTGCAGTGACAAAATGTAACGATACCTTAAATATGTACAGTTTCGCAATCACTTAGTCAGGGACTGAATTAGAGACAACGAATCCATTGCCTTTCGTATTTTTGCCTGTAACGAAGACTAACTTTTAAAGAGCAAAAAGTAATACGGAGGTCAATCCTGAAATATTTAATGAATCCACTTGTATAGATTTAGATTTAGTTTTATTAAATTTGAAAGGGATTATGTAATAATAATTTGCTTATTAGTATATTTTTTTATTCTTTGTTTGTCGGTAGTCATAGCATAGATAGACAATTAGGTAGAAAATATCTACATTACATTTTACATTATTTCCTCTATTTATTGCAAAGAAAGAAAGATTTTTAAAACAAGTAAGAAGATATCAAAAATATATTTGTATATATCAAAAGAATTATGTTTGTGATGAAAATAGCTAGCAGACAATTTTTTTCATATAATTTGACGCAAATAAAAAATACTTTTATAATAATTATATTTCTTTTTAACAATCATTTGTGAATCCATGCTTTTGGAAAGGTTTCTTCATCGATATTGTCAAAAAACAATTCATGTAAATAACAGAAGTAAATATTGTATATAAGGAAGAACAGTAGAGTGGACCTGTACATATGTATATTCAAAATGCTCTTGCTCTTAGTTTTTTTTCAATTTATCAATGCAAATCGAAGTTAAATAGGTTGTTGATGTAGACAATGCATGAAAGAAAGAAGTGATATTTTGAAAATTTTATGAAGTGCTTTGCTTGTAGATATTTATAATTAGTGAGATTTTTAATTTATTACTTCTATTTATAATCATTTGTCATAGAAGCCGAGAGTATGATGATGATAAGATGACTCAAATTGTACAAAAAAAAATTGTTTTGAGAAAGTATAACCATGCTTTACACTTTGTAGATTTATATTGGAAAGAGACAATGACATACTATAGCAATAATATACACGAAATGATACTATACTATAGAAATATTACTAATATAGCAATAATATACACAGTGAGTACTGTACACCAAAGCTTCTTGTATCGTACCTAAGCCAAGAAACGCCAGCATACCCCAGTTTTCCCAGTTTGAGCAGTAGTTGAATTCAATAGTATCCGAAACGCTTAGAGTATTATTCAAACAGAAAGCGAGTTGTATATATTACATATTATGTTTTACATATTATGTTTTACATATTATGTTTTACATATTCTGCCCTACATATTATGCCCTACATATTATGCCCTACATATTATGCCCTACATATTATGTATGACATATTATGTATGACATATTATGTATTACATATTATGTATTGCCTTCAATTTTAACGGAAACAAAATATAAAAGTGGGAGTTTGGCTATAGATATTAAACATTGGTTTAAGGATGTTGCCAAATTTGTAACACCATGAAAGCATAACCCATAACCCATGACGAAAAATAAGCCATGATCCCCATGGAGCCAAATTAATTTCAACGTGGCTCAAATTTGTTTCTAAATCTGCCTATCTGGCGCATGCTGACGTTCTCTGTAATGAGTGATTATATATATACATAATAACTCTACATGTAGGAACAACAAACAATAACATCATTATTCTAAAATAATATAAAAAATTTCCAACTTTGTTGAAAAGTGATTTTGAGATTTCATTGAAAAATACTATACTCAAATGAATCGACAGGAGTTAGAGAGTAAAAATTGTGTTCTTTAATACCTACGAAAATTTAAAATTTTGGATAGATTGGATAATATTAACCAGGATAAGTTATTAAATCCATATCAAAATGTCGTTCCTATATGTATGGTTATTGAAAACGCTTCAGAGGAAGGCTCTTTTGGGAATTTGTCAGACATAGAGATAATATATTATATGCTTTTACAAATCGATTTCCTGTGCATTTTACTAGTTCAAAGTATGCAAAATAAATAATAGATGCATAAATGAAGAGTTTGTAGGTAAAAAATAGTTATTTTTAGTCTTAGAAACTTTTTTAAACTTGGAATATAAAAACGATGATGGTAATGATCTAGCAATAATTTCTTCGTAGAAATTAGGTGTATAAAGTAATATTTTAAAAGCTTTAAATGATATTTCTTTTTATTTAGTTGAATTTTTTTACAAAAAGACAAATGTTGAAAATTATAATTTCTAGAATAAGATTAGTACCAGCATAAGGTTTGAAAAGGTTTTACTACTAATGCAACACTATTTGCTGAGGATTATACTACCACACCATTTGAAATGAATTAATTTTATTTATTGTTTTTTTTTTTTATTTCTTACTTTTATCAGGTATTTTTAAGTCTGAGTTCCACAAATAATACAGTTTTTATTATCTTCGATTATCAGTATAAAACTCTGATTTTTTAAGTAATAAAATATCCATTTACATCCTGAAAATTTCATAAAACACATCATTTTTAAATAAATATATTAAAAATAAACTACGTATGATAAAAGAAGGTTTGCAAGAAAGTTTGTACAAACAGCTTTTAATTTTTTTTAAAAAATAAAACACTTCTAAAAAAAATAATTTCTTGTAAAGAAATTAATTCTCGTTCGAAATTAAACAATAATGTGGAGAAAATGCAAAAATATTGCCAATTTATCTTAAATTAGTTTATCTGGTAATGTTTTTAGAAAACTCTACTAAGCCATTAAATACTCCCTGATGAAAATGTACAAATCGTACAAAACCAGGTGCATAGCGTCGAAAAACTTTCTGAAATATAACACAGAAATTCCAAGTCACTTTTAATAAATTAAAATAATTTGAAAAGAAGTTTATTGCTTCTTTTTATGTTTATATGCATGTATGTTTTCCAATAAAACAAAGCTTTCAATGAGGTGCTTTTGATCATTCCGTCACACGATTAAGATCAATGCAAATACTATCATACAAATATCACCACAATAAACAGATCTCGAAATTTTATAGAAATTGCGTATGTTTTTCATCAGCAGAGGATTGTATAGGTTTGTTGAAAAAAATAATATAGCACTGTATGCCCCAGGTTGTTTTCTAAAGTATAGGTTTGTCATTTGTTAAATTGTTGTAAGGCTTATGACGTATTACAACTACGTAATTGAAACCATACGTGAATTAAGGCATTTCTCCATTTAGGTTGACTGCGTTCTTAGAAGCGGTTTGTTATCATTTGATAATTAATCGTAATAAATGGATTAATCTTGAGGGTGCTTCGTTACTTCTCGTAGAGTAATGTGCTTGAATATACACGAATTACAATTTTTTTTATTTGCGTTAATCGCGCTTTTTTGAAGTCATTTTTATCATATGTGAATTAGTCGTAATAAATTGACTAATCGGGAAGATGCGTTGTTACTTCTAGTAGAGTGATGTGCTGCAACAGACACGAATTACAAAATTTTTCTATTTGGGTTGACAGAGTTCTTTGAAGCGTTTTATTATCAATAGTAAATTAGTCTTGATAAATGAACTAATCGTGAACGTGCATTGCCACAACCACACAGAGGGTTTCACTGAAACTTTATGCAAAATACAGTATTTTTATTATTTGGGTTGTAAAAGTTTTTCGTACCATGTGTTTTGTCATTAATTATAAATTTGTCGTGATAAATGGCTTAATCATGAAAAAAATAAAATTGCTGAAACCATACACGAATTACGTCATATCAAAATGAGTAAATATAGTATTAGAATTTTTTTTCAAATCATGGCCCCGATGTTTTGTTCATATTGATAGTTATTTTATTTAAAAAAAAAAAGAGACCATTTATTTATTGATATCGAATAAAAGTGGGACTTTTCATGTCACATGATTATATTATTTCTTAAGTTTTATTGCTGTACGAAAAAATTCATAAAATAAAGAATCAAACTGTTAAGACAGTCTTTCCTTTGATCTTGGTAATAAGATTTCTCACTTCTAAAGAATCCAACAGATGGCGCTCTTCTAAAATCCAACAGGTGGCGCTCTGAGCAGTAATGTAAATGGATAGATTGCATTCAGTTTCATCTATCGCACTGTACTATGAACATCATTCTTTTTTTTCTTTCTTATTAAATATACTTTGTTGAAGGCTTTTGTAATGCTTTAAAACCCAGAGATCATCGTATTTAACAGATCTCGAAATCAGCAAAGTCCAAATTTACTACTCCATTTCTGAGCTTAAAAATAAAAACAAAATACGGAGTGTTATCAAAATAGATACACTAGTCTGGGGTAAATGTCGTTTTAAATTTTGTCAAATAAGTTTACTAGACTTGGAGAACATATACCTGATGATATTTTCATTAAATGCTTACTCCTTCAAAGTATGTTGCAACTTTGCCATAGATGATAAATTAAATTTTTTTTTTTTAATTTTGTGATAGCCTACATGCAGTAGCAACTAAAGAACTTTTAATGAAAAATCTTTTATGACAAGATATTAAGTATCAATGCATGCGTGAAACAAGTAACAATTATAGCTTAAATATTGTTAATACATGATTAAAAATACTTTCTTGGGCTCAAGACTGTTTTCTCAATAACATAATGCGCAATAAAAAATTCTTATCCTCAACAGCATTATTATACAATGATAATGA